CCTTCATCCCTCTGTGCTTCCTGGTGACCAGGCCATAAGCTGCTTCTCCCATCAGGCCCCTCTGCCCTGCCTCTGAGCCAGCCAACTACAAACTGAAGTCTCTAGAAACTGAGGCAAAATAAACCTTTCCTCCCTTAAACATTGGGTGAGGGGTTATGCCTCGGCCTGGAGAAAGTAGCTGAGACCTAGCTGACTTAGCTTCAGCAGGGGAAGGCTCAGAGCAACGCTGCGTGGGGGTACGGCTCCCTGGTAGAGTACTTGCCTAGAACTTGGTTTCTCAAGTCTTCAGGGAGGAAAAAGTCTGTTTCCCTCCCTGGTCCCTGGCATCGTGCCTGGCACACAAAGGGCATTTTGTGCATGAAAAATTAGTGACTACTAGAAAAAAAATTACATCCAGATTGCTTTAATCCCAGGCCACTCAAGGGGCTTCCTCGCTTCTGTTTTCCCACTTCATATTTACTGTCCATCTAAGTAATTTCTCTGGGCAACAATAAAAAAAAAAAAAATCTATCAGGTCAGTACATCAGGGACACACCTATCACCCAGCACTCGAGAGGCTGAGGCAGGAGAATCATGAGTTCAAGGCCAATCTGGGCTATGCAGCAAGCAAAAACTTACCTCCTAGAAACAAAATAAATAAGTAAATAAATAAAAACTTATCAGGACACAAAAGTGCATCGCAGGGCTGATTCCACTAATCTGCCAGTGTGTCTCCAGCAAAGCTCCCCCGACCTGCAGCACAGAAATCCAGCCAAAGGTGTTCGCTGGCTCGCACAAACATATGCAGGATCTGTTGGCAAATACTAGCGCTGGGGAATATTCTCGGATTTCAGACTCTCCTAAATAGCAGTCAGGAGGGATCCGAAGCCAAATGTTTTGCCCTGACTCAAGGGTGTCCCATCTACGGGTGGCTTGTCAGTGTAAGCCAGAGCCAGCTTGTTTGCACCTTGAACATTTGAAGTCCCTGGCGTTAGTCTGCCACGCTGACAGATCTGGCCCCAATTTGTTTCTCTTTGCTTTGATTTCTGATAGCTGGAGCCTTCTTTTGTGTCCCTTAAAACTCTTTTCCATAGGAGATTTTGATAAAAGTGCAAATAGTACAGAGGCTTGAGTGTGGTCGTTAGTTTTCAATTCTTTTGGGTAAACTCAGGAGTAGGGTTGTGGGTTATATGGCAGCTCTGGTTAAAGGTGCAGAAACCGCCACATTATTTTCCAAGATAGCTACATCATCTTAGTCCTCATGGGTGGTATAGCACCCAGCCCTAGGCCCCTGCACCCCGCACCCCTTCCGATGTTCCCGGATGCGCCAACCACAACTGTGCTGCAAAGATTTAACCTTGGGGCTGGAGAGATGGCTCAGTGGTCTAAAGCACCTACT